GCGTGAACCTCCGCGATGTTGGGATCGACAATCTGAAACACCGAAGAGGAGCGACGGGGAGTATGGTCCTCGAAGTCACGGGACCGGAAAACGCGGCGAAGGCGGAGGCGCTACGAGCAAAGATGACGGAGGTGCTCCAGGGGAGCGGCATAAAAGTCGCCTGCCCAACGAAGAGGGCGGAGATTAGGATCAGAGGCTTGGACATCTCCGCCAGTACTCGGGAGGTCGCGGAGGCTGTCGCCGCTGCGGGAGGCTGCGAGCTGGGGGAGATCAAAACCGGAGAAATCCGGTTCCCCCCCACACGCGGTGCTGGAGCAGTATGGCTCCAGTGCCCCCTCGTGGCTGCTCGAAAGGTGGTGGTTTTGTGGGCTGGTGTAGGTGCCGCGTCGAGGCACTCGCAGCACGCCCGATGCAGTGTTTCAGATGCCTGGAGGTACGTCACGTGAGGCTCGCGTGCAGGAGCCCCGTTGACAGGAGCGGGCGGTGTTACACGTGCGGCAGCACCGAACACAACGCGAGCGGATGCACCGAAGCGCCGAGGTGCCCGCTCTGTAGCGATCTCGGCCGACCGGCTGGGCACCGGCTGGGAGGAAAGGGGTGCGCTCCGCGGACAGCGGAGAGAAGAGCGCTGACCAGCAGCACCGCCCCATCTGTTTGCTGGACGAGGCGGGTAAGCTCCTGGAGCGCGTCATCGCTGCCCGCCTCACCAGGCATCTGTCTCGCGTGGGGCCCGACTTGAGCGACGCTCAATTCGGATTCCGAGAGGGACGCTCGACGATGGACGCGATTAACCGCGTCCGCGCCCTCTCGGACGCGACAGTATCCCAGGGTGGAGTCGCGCTGGCGGTGTCGTTCGACATCGTCAACGCGTTCAACTCTCTGCCCTGGGTCAGCAACTCCAGGGGAATCTAAACCACTCGCGCGGGGCTCATGATCTGCTGATTCATACCCTGCGCGAGTGGAAAATCGGACTGGCCGTCGTCGCGGAGCCGTACGTGGTGCCACAGGGGTGGCACAGCGACTACCACGGCCGAGTGGCAGCTGCATGGAACGGCACACCGGGCTCGCCTCCCGCGACACTAGCGGAGCGCGGATCCGGTTACGTCGCCGTTCAGTGGGGAGAGCTGGCGGTGATAGGCTGCTACGCACCGCCTCGCCTCAACTTGGCTGAGTTCGAGGAGTTCCTGGATGGGGTGGGGGCGTGTGCACGGCGCCTCCACCCCCGTCCTGTGTTGGTCCTGGGAGATTTCAACGCGCACTCCACCATGTGGGCGTCCCCCAGGACCGACAGACGAGGCGGAGCAATGGAGAACTGGGCGGCGGAGGCGGAAATCCGACTGCTGAACAGGGGTTCCGCTCCCACGTTCGTGCGGCAGCACGGCTCGTCCATCATCGATCTGAGCTGGGCAACGCCGGCTGCCGTGCGACGTGTGACGGGGTGGAGGGTGGCGGAAAGAGCGGAATCTCTCAGCGACCACCAGTACATAGTGATCGACGTCTCCGCCACCCCGCGGAATCAGCCCCGTCCCCGTCGCCTGGCAGACCTGTCGCCGCGGTGGGCGCTGAAGAGGATGGACAAGGACGCCCTGATGGCAGCCGTTCGAGTCGTCGCGTGGATCACCGACGCTAGGATCGTCACCAACGTGGGAGAAGAAGCGGAGTGGTTCCGGGGGCAGATGACGGCAGTCTGCGATGCCGCCATGCCCCGGGCCAAAGCACTCCCGAAGCGAGCGGCGTACTGGTGGTCGGGGCAGATCGCGGAAATATGCACGAACTGCGTGATAGCCCGACGCCGGTACGCCAGAGCGCGAAGAAGAAGACGACGCGACGACGCACGAGCGGCGGAGCTGTACGGAGAGTACCGAGAGGCGACGAAGAGCCTGCAGCGTGCCATCAGGAACGCCAAGGCCGAGGCGTGGAAAGAGCTCCTCGGCTCTCTGGACCGGGACCCATGGGGACGCTCGTACCGCATGGTACTGGGAAAATTACGCCCGTGGGCCCCACCGGTTACGGAGGGCCTGGAACCCCAGGTCGTGAAACGGGTCGTGGACACGCTGTTTCCCCCAGCCGGGGAAGCATTGCGGCCCGTTCTCGAAGAAGAAGAGGAAGAGGATCCGGACCACTGGACCGCAGACCTGGGCGTCACGGAGGAGGAGCTGGCCGGGGCGGTGAGAAGAATGGCGACGAAGAACACCGCCCCCGGTCCAGACGGAATCCACGGCCGAGTGTGGGCCTTGGCGATGGGCGTCCTTGCCGAGCCCATGCGGGCGATGTTCACGGAGTGCCTGCGGGGAGGAGAATTCCCTCCTCTGTGGAGGAGAGGAAGACTGGTCCTCCTCGGGAAGGAGGGAAAGATGGAGGGAACGCCATCCGCGTACCGCCCCATCTGCGAGGAGAATTCCCTCCTCTGTGGAGGAGAGGAAGACTGGTCCTCCTCGGGAAGGAGGGAAAGATCGAGGGAACGCCATCCGCGTACCGCTCCATCTGCTTGCTGGACGAGGCGGGTAAGCTCCTGGAGCGCGTCATCGCTGCCCGCCTCACCAGGCATTTGTCTCGCGTGGGGCCCGACCTGAGCGACGCTCAATTTGGATTCCGAGAGGGACGCTCGACGATGGACGCGATCAACCTCGTCCGCGCCCTCTCGGACGCGACAGTATCCCAGGGTGGAGTCGCGCTGGCGGTGTCGCTCGACATCGTCAACGCGTTCAACTCTCTGCCCTGGGAGGCCATCAGAGGGGCACTCACCCACCACCGAGTACCCCCCTACCTCAGGAAGATCGTCGGGTCTTATCTGGGGGGCAGATGCTTGGTGTACCCGGAGCGGTACGGAACGAGAAGAGAGAAGATCGTCGAGAGAGGCGTCCCGCAGGGGTCGGTGCTGGGCCCTCTGCTCTGGGACGTCGCTTTCGACAGTGTTCTGCGGGTGGCTCTTCCCCCCGGCGTCAGCGTCACGTGCTACGCGGACGACACGCTGGTGCTGACGACCGGGGGTGACCCGAGGAGGACGCTGAGGACGGCGGAGGTAGGAGTGGCCTGCGTCGTCGCGGCAATCGAGCGACTGGGACTGGAGGTGGCGCCCCGCAAGACCGAGGCCATCTGGTTCTTCGGCCCTCGGCAGGCGGTGCCGCCCAGTTCCCGGTTGCGGGTAGGTGAGGCGTACGTCGAGGTGGGAACGGCCCTAAAATACCTGGGCCTCACCCTCGACTCCCGCTGGCGTTTCGGTGCTCACTTCGATCGCCTGGTCCCCCGAGTCGACAAGGCGGCCGTGGCGCTCGGAAGACTGCTGCCGAACCTCGGGGGACCGGAGGAGAGAGTTCGCTGCCTCTACGTGGGCGTCGCGAGGAGTATGACGTTATACGGATCGCCCGTCTGGGCGCGCGATCTGGCCGTCAACCGCCGCAGCAAGGAGCTGCTGGTTAGAGTCTGGGAGAATGGCGGTTAGAGTCGCGCGCGCGTACCGGACGACGTCCTACGCGGCAGCGACGGCGCTGGCGGGGCTGATGCCATTCGACCTCCAGGCGGAAGGAGACGCACACGTATATCGGCGTCTCCGGGAACTCCGTCGGGGAGGGGCAGCCCCGCCAGACTGGGCGAACGAGAGGGGTGAGCTGAAGCGCCACGTCAACAGACGCGCGGTGGAGGAGTGGAGGCGCTGCCTATCTGCCTCCGCCGATTCACGCGCCCTGGGGGCGATCCTGCCGGTGTTCGAGGGATGGATCGGCAGGAAGCGGGGGAGCCTCACCTACCACGTGACGCAGATAATAACGGGGCACGGCTGCCTCGGGGCGTACCTGCACCGAATAGGACGAGAGGACACGGCAGGATGCCACCACTGCGGAGGAGAGGAAGAGGACACGGCGCAGCATACGTTGGAGGAGTGCCCGGCGTTCTCTGGACAGCGAAGAGCTCTTCAACAAGTGATCGGATGGGATCTCTCCCCGGCGGCGATAATCGCCGCCATGCTTGCAGGGGAGAGAGAATGGGCCGCAGTGGCGGCGTTCTGCGAAAATGTAGTATAATAGACAACACGGCGGTGCGGACATAGCCGCACGGTCTTACGACTATTGGAGTAAAGGTTCAAGAAACATCCCGTGGTTTGGAAAAATGTTTGCTAGGGATAGGTTTCAATTAATTTTGAAGTTTTCCATCTGATAGACAATAGCAGTTTGACACCATCAGGACATTCAGATTACGATCCGTGCGGTAAATTCAACTTCTTAATGGATTACGCCAATAAAATTTTTCAGGAACAATATACTCCACACTGCCAGTTGAGTATAGACGAATCGTTAGTTGGTACTCATTGTCACTCTATTATAAAGCAGTATGTTCCTAATAAAAAACACCATAAATGGGGAATCAAGTTCTGGATGATTTGCGATTCTATTTCAAACTATTGTTTAGGATTTTATTGCTATCAAGGTGCAAAGTCAAGCGACGATAAAGAAGAAATAAAAAAAGAATGGTCTCGGATATGCAGTGGTTGAAAAATTGCTAACACTAGGAAATTACATGAATAAAGGATACCATTTATTCATAGATAATTTTTTCACAAGCATTCTCCTTGCAAAAGCACTGTTACAGAAAAACACATATCTAACTGGCACCATTCGGAGAACTAGAAAACATATTCCGAATGAGGCAAAATTTGCACAGGTTGGTCAACCAAAATATTTCAAAAGTAACAAAATACTTATGTGCTCTTACCGAGACAAAAAATCTAAAAAAAATTCCGTCATACTAATCTCTACAAATAGTACAACAGGAAACATAACCGTTACAAAGAAGAAAGGAAATGTACAATATGTAAAGGAAAAACCAACTATTATTCACAATTATAACAAGTTTATGCATGGAGTTGATGAATCCGACAAAATGTTATATACATATCTCGATGAAAGACGAACTCTCAAATACTGGAAAAAAGTTGTTTTTAACATTTTTGTCAGAATGGTGCTAAACGCTTATATAATATATTCGGAAAATTGTTTTGGTAAAAAATTAAATCGAGCATTATTGATGCTATAGAGAAGGAATGGTTAGCAACCAAAAATACCACAAGAAGACTATCAATAAGTAAGAAGTTTTCTTTAGAAAAATTGCCTGGGCGAAACTTGCGACAGTGTGAGGTATGCAGCAAGAAAAATGGTAATGGAATTAAACGTTCCAACTTAATTTGCGCTGTAT